AGGTTTTCTGGTCTTGGCATGTGTTGCTTTTGATCTGCCTGAGCAACTATTATTTTGTCAATATGAGGAGTGCACACTGACCAAGGGCAATGTATGTCCATGAATTTTTACTGACTGCAAATGTAGCTCAGCACAGGCTAAACCACACTGGCAGAATCTAAGACCTTATATGCATTTTCTGTGCTGTTCCGTACAACACGTGAGGAATGCTAATCAGCATTTGAAAGGAAACGTGGGCTTTCAAAGAAGACCCACCGAAATGCAAAATGGGAATATATATTCCCCTAGCAAAAAGTCCAGTAGAACTTATGAGTCATCTAGAAGCAAATAACTCCCACTTCTTCCCCCTCCCCCCAATTGCTAACTTGAAACACAATCATCCTCAAAGGATCAGGATCTTTCAAGGTTGTTTTTTTTTCTTCCTTTTAGTAACAGAATGAAGAACATAAACAACAAACAAATCTAAAGGCTAAATAAAACTGAGTAACAGTTGACATTTCCCTGCAGTAATTGTCAGTATTTTGGGTTCACTACAACTGCAGCCTGTCCCAGAAGAATACTCAATTCACACGGATCTCCTTGGCGGTGCTTAAGTCCTGGTGGCACCGTGACCCATTTTAGTTCCTGCCTGGAAATGGATCCTGAACCACCGCAGGGCTCTGAGTGACGGTGAGGGACCAGGGGAGCATACAGAGGAGGGGGAAGGACTGCAGCACAGCCAGCCACACTGCTCTGCCTCCGAGATGAAGCGGCTCTGAGACAGGTGAACAGACAGCTAGACAGGCAAGGTGTGGGGGAGCGCAGAGACAAAGGGGTTGGGGAGAGGAGCGAGAACAGAAGGAGGGAAAAATGGGACAGAGAGCCTGAGATATTCACAAGAAAGAATAGCTCTTGATCCTGAGCACAGGCACTTGAAAACATTCAGTATGATGCAATGGGAGAAAGACTAAGTTTATTTATTTATTTATATTGCATTTTCATCCTAATTGGCATATCCTGCATTCATCTAGCTGTGTCGGTCCACTTAAGGAAACACTGAGCCCAAGGTAACCTAACAAGGTAACAAATCACCAGGCAGCCTGTTTATTCTGAAATACCAGCTACTTTAAACTGCAACAAGCAAAGGAGCAAGAAGGACACCCATCCTTCATAAAATGCAAACAAAATGCAGGGAGCAAAGCAAGCAGCATAATGAGTTTGGATTTTAAATCTCATTTAAGCTTGTGTAGGCTCTGCCCCCCGCACTGCTGCCCTGCCTTATGAATACCTTTAGCATCCGTGCAAAAACCTTGTCCCAGCAGCGCTGCCCCCTTGGACACGCACAAGAGAGACTGAGCAGTGAACCTGGCTCTCAGGCTGGAGACCTAAAACAGCTCAGCTGTAATCTTTAATAACAATATAAACTGTTCAGCGCCTCTTCAAAAAAAAACAAACCAAAAACCACAAAAGCTTCCTGCATGCTGTGAACAAGATCTCTTTATTGAGAGCTTTACTTTTAATTTTGAACAGCTTCACAGCATTATCCTTAGCAGGGGAAAAAAAAAAAAAAAGAGCCTGGAGATTTTTGAGCTATTCTGTCAACTGCATGGTAAGAGTTCCTCATTGAAATTAGCTACTCCTAGCAGCATCACAGGAGAATTGCTGGTCTGCATCTCCTCCACAAGTCATTTCACATTTTTTAAAGATGGACAAAGTGCTTATTTCATTTCATTTCATCGAAAACTGAAAGCCACAAAAGCCACCACCACTGATGGAGACCCACAACATCAGCACTTTCAGTACTCAGTGTGCTAGGGACGCTGGCTCCAAGTTTCAGCAGCTCAGTGTTCCATCTTTGCTTTTTTAATTTGTTTTTAATCTTATATGGGAAAAGAGTAACGGTTCCCATCTTAAAAAAATTTTAAAAAATTATTATATTAAACATGCGGAACAGCAAGTTGAACTCACGATTCAAAATTCTTAAAATGTCACAACACTGAAGTATTTCACTAGGAGACAGAAATTTGTACATGGTTCAAAGCCTGAAATTTAGCTTTTTTTTTTTTTGAGCAAGCTATAAAAACCAGGACCTTTTCAAAGGAACCAGAAAAAATACTTTTTCAAATGCTTTTTGATCCTACTTTGAATGGTGAATCTTATTTTCATTTAAACACTTTTCTACAGTATTGGAAACTGAAGAGTTTCTAAACAAAGAGGGGAAAGTAAACTGTCTCAATTCATTATCTCTAGGAGTAAAATGGTAAAAGCAAATAAAAAAACACCTATGCCTTTCCATAGCACCTTTTACATCACTGCAACACATTTCGTCAATTTTGTGCTGAGTACACCAGTAACTGATTTCTCATTGTTCTCTGCCTGTCTCCAAATGCACACCTTCTACAGGGGCTGACACCAACACACGCAAACATACAGAAACCCGGATTCCTGATTCTGACATCAGAAACTGCTTCTAAAATTTCTGCATATTTTCTTCAGATTATATGGTTGCATATTTGGAAGGTCAATTTGTTAAGAGGAAGGATTCCTTGGCCTCCTGCATTCCTACTGAATTTAACTCAAAGATGCAAGAAATTCTAGCAAATTCCCCAGAATACAACCCAGAAACACTGCTGATATGTAAAGAACTCCAAAAAACATATTGACAACATTTTTTTCCTATCAAATATTGGAAAGTACAAGCAGAGAGAGCAAAAACAAAGTAATTTACAAATTTTCAGTGTTGTTGGTTTCATTTTTATTAGCAAAAGAGGGAAGAAATGTTTTTAAGGGAGGAGCTTGGCTCTAATTTGAATTTAGAAATTGCCTCAGAGAAACCAAGGCATTACATTAGTGTAAGAAAGGTGCAAGATCAAAACCAAGTCCGTGGCAGTGCTCTATCATGATGTGATTTCTTTATAATGAAATATAGTGAAAGAAAATTAGTGGCACAAGGATTTTAATGCACCCCAGACACACATTTACAATGATTAAACAGATCAGTACTTGTAAAACCCAAGGGTCTAACTTCACAAACCTTTACTCAAGCAAGCAGTTTCACCAAAATCAATGGGATTATTTGCATATGTAAGGATTATTTATCTCAGCTGAGATCTGTAGGTTTAGGCCACACATTTCTATTTAGATCTTCTATGCAGAAGAAACCACAATTGTATGAAAAACGGGAGAACACTGGCACCTTGGCGTTAGTTTTCATTTATACCAGTACAATTTTCCCTGGCCCTCTGACGCATTTGATAGACTGGGCATGTTTCGAAATTGGAAATGTTGGCAAAAATACAAATTTCCTGATGTGAAGAATGCTACTCATGGATAATAAACAAAATCAATTCTTATTTGCATATTCAATCAGATTTGGGTTTGCATATAAAAGCATAAGATGGTAGAATTTTCACACGGTAGATGGATCCTGCTCATTTATCCATGCATATATGCATCCACTAATCCTTACACATGCCAAAATCAGTCAGAAATACTCTCTTTGCTAGGCATTCATAGCACAAAAACACTGTCCCTGCTGCTGTTCTCAACCTCCTCTTTTCGTATAGCATATGACAGCACTCTCCCACGGCTTTCTCCCAAGACTCCCTAATAGCCCCTGTTCTCTATTAGACTTCTTTTCACTAGGCAAAGCGATAGTTTGAATTTTTGAATCATAATTTAAAAGGGATGCTGTCAACTGTACGTGAAGAACAAAAAATGCTGGACCAGATTTTCAAAGGAGCTTCAGCTTGGACCTGACAATTTGGCTTGTAACTGTCACGGCAAAACTGAATGTATCTCTCACTGGTAATATTGACGCGTTCCAGACTACAGCTAAGATCTGCAGATTTAGACCGTGCATACCTATTTTTCACACACATCTACTAGGAAATAGAATTAAAAAACATTTATGTAGTCCAGTACTATCAAAATATGCAATATTAATATTGTCCCATACACCAGAAGTCTAACAATAAATTACAACCCTGTAAGCTACGCTCCAAGGTGCTGAATGCCGGCAGCATCTGTGGGACCTGAAGGCAATCAGTGCTGTGAGCCATCAGATAACAGGTTTGACGGTCTTGTAGCCAGTCTGACAGTCTGAATCTCTAATTTGCATATAGAAGACTGTCATATTCAAACATATATAATTTTGTGCATTACATTAAAAATTCGACTGGAACCCTGTGTGAGAAACCCTAGCTTGCTGCAAACTAAGAAATGTTTTCACATAATTAAAGAAAGAGATCAAACAAATTAGCATCAAAACTAAACAGCAATCTGCTGCAGCAGCCTTTGCCCTTACTAGGTCAAGCAAAAGGGACCAAAAAATCTGAACTGCCTAGGGTATCTTAAATAATCTGGTATACACAGAAATAGTATTTCACTCTCCCAGATGAATGAAGCGCAAAAATCAGACAGCATGAAGATGAAAGCTCATATAGGATTTCTACAGCAATGCCAGCTCTGATCAATTGAAACATTGTCAGCAGCAGGTTAAGGAGGTATTTACTTAACAACGGGACAGAATCTAATTGACTTTGCAGGAGAGGAGAGTGAGCAGGCAGGCAAGCGAGCCCCACTCATTCCACTCTTTGAATCTTACACAGCCCTTTTTGAAAGAGGGCAGGAGCACAGCCCTGTGCTCCCAGAGTGTGTATTTTGCCCACACTTGTGTTCCTGTGCCGGGTCTCCCCTACAAAGGGGCCAAGTTGCTGGAGGGCCAGGAGAGGGGACAGGGCAGCTGTGCTGTTGTGCTTCTGCAGACGCCTCCCAGTGTCCTCCCCGCGTGCTGCAGCACAGCCTGCTCCCAGACACAGCACCCAAAGTGTCCTCTCTCTTTCTAGCTCTGAAGAATTTAAACTATCCATACAAATAACCAGAAAATAAGGGTTTGACCCAGTTACACATCTTAGAGCTCCTCACATTCATTTGCTAATGCTAAATGTAATGGAAATCACAGCTTTCCTAAAAAACAGGCAGCAGAGAGAGAGGAAGAGAATTACTGTTTATGTTCCTACCTGCTTGGTTAGTCGTCACAGTGACTGACACAGCTTGGTCCTGGCTGGGGTTTTGCTTGGACACTCCATTCACGGCCCAGACTTCAAAGGTGTAGTTAGTGTGTGCCAGGAGGTCGGTGATGGAGACTTTGGTGGTTTTCAGGCCGTTCTGCTGGGGGCTGAAGTGCACTCCACTGCCGCAGGACCGGCAGCGGCCGAGGTCGCCGGCACCGCACCTCTTGCACACCACGTTGTAGGAGATGTCTTCCCGGCCACCTTTGTTCTGGGGGGGGCTCCACTCCAAGTTCACTGATGTCTCATTGACATTGGAAATCAGGTTCTGGGGAGCAGATGGAGGGCCTAAAAAGACAAAGTCCACATGTTTTTAGTAACTGGAGAAAGCTTACATAGTAGTGTCAGACTTAGGGTCCCAGACCTGTGCAACTCCCATTTAAGTCAAGGAAAGCAGAGACCAAACAGAATTTTACTTCTCTATGTTCTTAATAAGACAAAAAATTAACTGGTAAGTCAAACTCTGATCTCTTCATCTGATGAATTAACAGTATTTCCCAACTCTAAATAAGCCTGAAGGCCCAGTACTGCAATTAAACAAGAGGGTTTTCTTACTTTCAGTCTTTATACATGTTATGAAAAATGTTAAATTCACATATTTTACACTCATTTTTCCATGATCTCCTGAGCAAAGGATCAAATGCACAAACTCCTGCTTCACTTGACATTTTCAAGGTCCTCCAATACCTACAGGCAGACTGTCACTGAAATTGTTACAGAAATATCTCATGAGATTTTTTTCTGAAAAATAGAAGTGCAGTATTTTCCAGACAAGTTGATGTCAAATCACATTTAGTGAACACTGAAGCCCATCAAGCAGGGACCTGGACATGACGTTTTGGGATGCAGAATGGAGATCTAAGTGGAAAGTTGGACACAGAACTAAGGCTTTGAAGGATCAGGAATAAAGGTTACAATAGGGGAGTGCTGTAGAATGTGAAAGAATTGGAGAGGAAAATATGGTGAGCAGCAGAACGAAGAGCTGATAAAAGAAACCTGGTCAGGAACAACAGATCAGACAGAAACACTGGAAATAAGGCTGAATTTGAGACACAAGGTCAGCTCTTCCACCGCAGGGACAGAAGACTTTTAAGTAAACACGCTGCCAAAGAGCTCCCAGCTGTTTCCAGCACAGGGATTCGAGGACAGAGCCAAAGGCAGGCTGGGGAGGACCTCCCTGGGCAGGAGGGGGCCGATCTGGGTGCGGGGCAGAGCCTGCTGGTGGCAGCTCCTCCCGCACCTTCAGCCCCCCTTTTGGGACTGCTGACCAAGCGGCAGAGCCCGGCCTCGCTCTGGACCAATGCACAGGCAGAAATCCTATTTATATACTTAAATCCCCACAGGCCCCAAACCCACTGGCAAATTGAAAATGCAGAAGAGCTAATCCTATGACTCCTAATCTAATTTCAATACAGTTGAGACACACTTTATGTACCCTTAAATTTAACATGGATGATTCAGAGCAAACCCATGAAAGGAATGGGTATTTTATACATCCCAAAAAGTTTCCCTGGCCACTGAAAGGCAGCCTGCTCTGGGGCAGAGCACAAAGGCACTTTGACTACACATATAACACTTTGAAACAGGTAAGCACTATATCAAAATGAAACAGAACGAGAACAGAGCTTGCAAAATATAATGATCCAAACAGGAATACAGTAAAAATAGCTGTCCTTGGTAACTACTCCTAGTCAGAGCTTTACATACAAACGTTATTGGCAGAAAAATACTGGAAATAATTTTGTAGAAAGTCACAAATTCCATTTTTATTCAAGACACAAGAGAGCTCATGAAAGCTTCTTAACTTTTATCAAAATACATTTGATGGTTGGAATTCAAAAAAAATTCAATCAGATCTCCTGGCAGAAAAGGGAAAAGAAAGTTCTGGCAAATTTCATGCCAGTTTTTCCATTCCTGTTATTTGTCAAATGTTATGAAACTGAGGGGGGGTGTTGAAGAAATCAGTCAGCACCAATAGTTTCATTAAGCGTATAAATACATCAGTCAGAACCTCTAATATGCCAAAGGTACAAAAGGAGCCGTGAGGGTAAGATGGGAACCAAATACATTCCAGTGAAATTCTGCTGAAATTACGAAGTGACTTATCAAATCTAGCAGCAAAGAGGTTAAGCTGTTAAGAGGTGACTATGGGGAAGATTAATTCTGGCTCCCTCAATTCATCAAGTGTATCTCAAAGGAAGCCCAAGACCTAAGCACGATGTATAGGACAAGATTTTGAGGGCTGCATCACCTCTCTGTGTCTGTGCTTGAAGCCGCCAGGATGTTACACATGTTCAACAGGAGACAGGACTTTTATTCTGGGACAGGTAGGTAGGTTAAGAAAGGAGTCTCACATAACTAGATACATTTGACCTCTGTGTAATCTTCAGTACCTAAATGAAAGGTCTCTGTTGCAGGAGTAGCTGAACAAGGATTGTTTCTCTGTGCTTATTTCAGAAATACAAAATTAATATATTAATTTTGAAAAGAGGGAAATCCTCCCTTCCTGCCAAACCTTTGAAACAGTCTCTGAGTTAATCGGGGTTGACAGGTAGAATTACTGCAAGAAGAGAGAGCCAGGGCCAGCCCCTGCCACAGGGAGCCCTCCTGCTTGCTGCACTACCAGGTTGCCATTCATGACTTTTATTTATACGCTGGCAGCATTTAGGACTCCTAAGGACAAAACCCTTTTACTGAAAGATCAGTTACTGAACACAGTAAGAGACGTTTCCTGATCCAAAAATACTTAGAAACTAGATGGGAAAGAAAAGGGAAAGAAACCGGTTTTAATCGCTGTTCATCATGTGGAAATGGAGGCAGACAGAGATGTGGTGAGACAAGGGCACACAAGACGTGCCTTGCACATCTGGGCATTGGTCACAACTGTCCCAAGTGTCAGCCCAGTGTCTCTGTCCCACAACCAGCTCTCCTTCCTCCAAAAGCTGGCTTTGCCAGCTCCCCTGGGCAGGAGAAAGTGGTCTCTGCTTTGCCTGCAAACACACGAGCCTTCTTTTCAAAAATACACTCCGAGTGCAATGAGGTGGAAGACACTTCTGAAATTGTGAACTCAAGCAGCAGCACAGGAACTGCTGAGCAGGAACTGATCCAAACTCCATCAACCCCAGATCTCCCCAGACTGCCTCACACCTGGGCTCTCTCTTCAAGGCGGGCAGGTGCACAAGGTGACAATGTCTGTCCTTCCACACTATCAAGGAAACAGGAGAACCAACAAAAGCCTCGGGAGGGAACCAGCAGCCTCAGCAGCCTGCAAGCCCAAGGCCACACCACACAGCCCTGGTCTGCCCTGGCCAGAGCAGCTGGCAGAGCCAGAAGCTGAGGCTGTCTGTCCTCCCAGAGCCTGGCCAGGACCTGGCAGCAGGAAGCCCTGAACAGAAACTGCTCCTGTGAGAAACAGTAAGAGCCTTAAAGCAAGAAAAAGCAAAAGGCGTTTTCTTTCAGAGAATTCATTTGCTGCAATCACACACGCAAGAGCATCGACTCACAGCACAGCCAGGAGAGCTGAGGTGGTGCCAGTGCAAACACCTCCCTCCCCAAGCAGCACCTGGCTCTGCCACGGCTGAGAATATCCCCATCTCAGCGGGGTATTCCTGCAGCAAAGACCTCCACACGAGGGTTCATACTGCCACAGCTGTGGTCTGAATGATGTGCCTCTTAGCTCAGATACAGCAGCCAGTTTGGGGTTAAACTCAGAGTTGCTCTGATGTCCATTAAGATATTTTCCAAGGCTCTAGGTCCAGTTTCACATGGGAAAATGTGCCAGAATGAATCAAGCTCCTCAGAAGCAAAAAGTCAGTAATTAGTATGTGGGACAGGGCATTGCAGTGTCTAAACAGAGATGCGACGAAGCGGAAAACCAGGGAAGCAGATGCTTGCAGGTCACAGAGATGAGTGCACCACCTCCAGCATGAAAAGGAAGATGCGGGGGAGTCTCCAAATGGTGGGCTGACATTACAGTGAGGGAAAAAGTAATTTCTTTTCTTTCTGGAGCATAGTCATCAATGGAGCTGTTGGCACCGGGAGTGGGGAATGGCTTCAGATTGATGGGTCTGGTTTCAGATGTTGAAACACAGGGCGTATCTGCTCCTTCAATGGTGATCAGGATTTGCTTTGTTTCTGACAAACAGAGCCGCTGCTGCTAGATGGCTGCTGCTAGATGAGATGAAAACCCTTTCAGTGCCACGGCAGGCTGCAAGTGCCAGCACAGTTCCAGGATGAACCCAGCTAGCAGGATCCCACACGAACAGCATCCTGCCAGCCTGACCACGACCCTCACACAAACCCTGTGTCCTCTGGCAGAAAAATATAGCTACGGGGCAGATGAAAGAGGAGACAACACAAGGACCTGTGCCTCTGAATCACCACCACTGTCTGTGACTCTGTCACAAGTCCCATGATTTACAGCACTTTTCTTAAAACTCCTGCTGATGGAAGCATGCTATTGCATAGGCCATTTGACATGCTGGAAGGAGCTAACACTGCCACACTGCCCAGGACAGCTTAAAAATGTGGCAGTTCCTAGAGGAAAAAAAAATTAAAATCTAGAGATTTTAATTTTGAAAACCAACTAACTTTAAAGCTTATTTTATGATTTTAGGAGGACAGGTGCTGTCATTTTTCCTGCCCAGGTCAACAGACTCTGAGGGATGGATCTGCAGAGCCGCTCGCTATTCTCACACTGGGGACTGCAAAGAGGACACGTTTTGATCACGGGGCCTGAAAGCCGGATCCTTCTCCCAGCCCATTTACCAGCACCATGAACGGACATGGGGGTCTCCTCTGTGGGAACACAGGGAACGGAAGTTTTTAATTTTATTCCTTCCTGGGGGTCCATAAATCTTGCTTCACAATAAACCCATCAAAATCAACTGAGCCATGAAGCAAATGGAAAGGCCCTGGGTGGAGCAATTCATTGTGTGTGTCAGGGCTGAGGGAAACACTGAAGAGTCTGTTCAGCAACAAATAATCTTCATCAAGCTAATCTTGCTATGTTCCTCACCCCTCCTATTAGATTTACTTAAACGTATTAGGCAATGCAGATTGTTTGGTTTTCTCTTGGTGCAATAAGCTATAGCCTTCATATCCATCTGTCTTTCACCCACAGGTATATCTGTCTGTCTTAAGGACAGTGTTCTATCTTATGTCAAACCAACATTCGGGGAAACGAGCTTTTAAGGGGTTAATAGCATGACCATTACTTGTACTAAAAGGACTGATGTATTTTAGCACGCTTTCTACAACCTCAAGCAGCATTTTAGCTTTTCATCCAT